TTATGACCCTCCTTTGGCCCATGCAGACAGCAGCGATGAGTCAGATAGCTCAGAGGAGAGTGACATTGACAGTGAGACCTCCTCTGCACTCTTCATGGCGGTAAGGCAGATCCCCGGGATGGGATGGGATGGGATGGGAGTGGCAGTCTGAGCCTTCAGACTTACACCCCAGTCTTTGCAGAAGAAGAAAACACCCCCCAAGAGGGAGCGCAAGCCGTCGGGCGGTAGTTCTAAGGGTACCAGTCGACCAGGGACTCCTAGTACAGACGCAGCAAGCACCTCTTCCACCCTGCGGGCTGCAGCCAGCAAGCTGGAGCAAGGTGAGTACTGGCAGAGCCTGCCCTGGGGGAAATGAGAGCTGATGGCAGCCCACACATCCTTCTGTACACTGGGTGCCCCATCTGCCCTCCCCACCCCACCCCCCAACATTCCTCTTTCCACCAGGGAAGCGGACAAGTGAGACCCCAGCAGCCAAGCGCTTACGGATGGATGCTGCCCCTCAGAGCCTATCTGGGAAGTCCACACCCAGCGGCGGGTAAGTTCAGACCCAAGTAGGGACCACAGGCAGGACTCAACCACAAGGGACTCCTGTGTGACCAGACTCTCCCTCCTTCTACCTCCCACAGTGATGTCCAGGTGACAGAGGACGCTGTACGCCGCTACCTGACTCGTAAGCCCATGACCACAAAGGACCTACTGAAAAAGTTCCAGACCAAGAAGACCGGGCTGAGCAGCGAGCAGACCGTGAACGTGCTGGCGCAGATCCTCAAGCGCCTCAACCCTGAGCGCAAGATGATTGGTGATAAGATGCACTTCTCCCTCAAAGAGTAATGCTAATAAACAGAGCAGACCCAGAATGTGTGTGAGTCCTTATTGCCACCTCAGCCCTCCTCCTGGGGCCCTGAGGCTTCATTTTATAGGATACACCGTCCCCTGTGCAATCTTCATGAGTTTAATTTCACTTGTAGAAGCTCTGCCCTGACCACTTCCCTAGCCCCTACCTTGTATCATTGTATCCTGTGGGGTTTATGGTAGACCTTGTCTGGGAATGCTCAGCTTCCAGCCATCCTTCAGGAATGCAGGCTTGGGATTTGCTATTTTTGTAGCACAGCAATGAAATGGTGGGACTCATACTTCCTACTCCCACCTCCACCTCTGGAGTGCTGGGATCATAGGCATGTACCACTAGCAGGCATGGCTCTTTTACTTTGTCTTTTGAGAAAGAGTCTTGCTGTGTAGCCCATGCTAGCTGGGAACTCAATTTCCCAAATGCTAGGATGACAGCCATATCTCCTGCATACAGCCCAGGCCACTTAGTACAGTTCTTGACTCAGGCACTTCCTTTCATGGCTACTGGAATCCAAACCTATTCCTGGTATTGGCACCTGGATGCTGTTTTTCATTTCCAAGTGACATTCCTGGGGTCCCCCTTATCTCCTGACAGGCCTAGTAATATAATATATCTTATGAAAGCTAGCCGGGCGTTGCACAGAGAGAGTGCTTTACATTCTTGGGTGGTGACATGGCTGCTTGGTCCTTGGCCTCAGCTGCTGCCTTGAAAGCTGGGTCCTGAACAGTTTGGGTACAGGGAAGGCTTCCTCTCACTGGCAGCCCGACACTAGTGGAAACCCACTCCCACTTCTGCCTCTCCTAGCTGGTGATTGGAAATGGCTGCTTTAAAAAGGGGTTAATCTCTAGGAATGTCCCTGCTCACTGAACTTCCCTTTTCCACTATCTAATGGCCCTTTGGAAACCTGGGCCTAAGGCAATGATCACCCTTGGGCAAGCAGAGTATGCATGACCTTGTGGTTAGGGGCAGAGGTTTTGTGTTTCAGGGGACCTATTTCAAACTTTATTCTGCATGTCAGACAAGGTGATTTTAGGTTTTGAAAACCATTGTTTTTCTTTTACTCTTTGAGATAGAGTCTCATGTAGCCCAGGCTGGCCTTGAACTAGTGATTCTCCTGCCTCAGCCTCCCCAGTGCTGGCTGAGATCACAGGCACGCACCATCAAGTCATTTTATGCTGTGCTTTGGATGGAACCCAGGGCTTTATACGTGCTCAGCAAGCATTCTACAAACAGCTCTAGTTGTGTGTGTGTCCGTCCTGTGTGGCATGTGTATGCCATCACATGTGATTGTCAGAGAACAACTCTGCAGTCACTTCTCTTCTACCATGTGGATTCTGCAACTCACACAGGTCAGGTGGGGTGGCAAGGGCTTTACCCTGCCAAGTTCTCACTACTGCTTACTGTTTTAAAATGGCCTCACTCTAGCTTATACTGGCCACAACCTGCAGCAATCCTGCCCTGACCACGGATGGGGTGACCAGGAGTGAGCAGCATGCACTGCCACACTCAGCATCAGTTTTACTCCTTGGCCTCCAAAGCCCTTGATCTGTTGTTGCCCATGTCCACTGGCTGGTCTCATGGCTTCAGAAGTTGGCAGAACATGCTCCTTGGGAATGATGGGACCCAGCAAACTCTAACCTCCCCGGTTGGCTATAGCTGTGGCTTTTCAGGTTGGCCTTCCAAGAACGGGAGTCCCAGCCCTTGTCTAGCGCCTAGACTCCCTTTTCCTGTTTTGATCCTGGCTCAGCCAAGGCCGGAGACAGGGGTATGATGTCTTAATCCTGACTGAAGCTGAGATGGACGGATGCCACTGACTGTTCCATCTGCCAGGTGCCCTTCCCAGTCCTTATTGGCCCCACATAGCCCACACTCCAGTACAAGACCTACAATAGGCCCCCTCCCAGTCTCCCTGAACTTCCCACCAAAAGCAGGTGGGGTGGGGACAGATTGGTGGCCAGCTCTGGTCTTGCTTCTGGCTGATAATAGGACACTCATAAATCAGGGGCATCAGAAATGGGTCTATGGAATGTCTGGGTGGGTGAGCCATCAATTCTTAGGGGGTGAGGATGTGGGGACAAGGCGGGTGGGAACCCAGTGACTTCCCTGGGCCATGATGCTGGCAGTGAGTTTAATCCCCAGGACAGGAAGAGAATAAATTGAGGACACCAGGGTTGCTCAGCATCCTGGGACCTCCCTGTCACAATGGCTGCAGGAAGACTAGCACTCGTGTTTCTGCTGCTTCTGTCCTTGCGCCTGGGCCTCGGCTGGGACCGTGATCCTCAAGGGGATCCAGTGGCAGAAGACAAGATTTCATCTGAGGAGATGACAGACCCTGGAAGAACCTGGAAGCCCCATCAGGGTAAGAATTCTTGGGGGTACCTCTTGACTCCCCAGTTCCTTCTCTTAAAGCCTTCATCTTGCCTCATATTCCTGTTCTACCCTGCACTAGGTAACAACCATGTCCGCCTTCCAAGAGCCCTAGCCGGTCCATGCCAGCTGTGGAGCCTAACCCTGCCAGTGGCTGAGCTGGGCCTGGGCTACACCTCAGAGGAGAAGGTCATCTTCCGATACTGTGCTGGCAGCTGTCCCCGAGAGGCCCATACACAGCACAGCCTGGTGCTGGCCCGGCTGAGAAGGCAGGGTCGAGCCCATGGTCAATCCTGCTGTCAGCCCACCAGCTATGCTGATGTGACCTTCCTCGATGATCGTCACCGTTGGCAGCAGCTGCCTCAGCTCTCAGCTGCTGCTTGTGGCTGTGGTGGCTGAAGGTGGCCAGCTCCTTGTCTCAGAATCACAAGCATGCGGCAACCTGAGTTTTGAAGGATTCAGGTGACATTTATTAGCACCTTGCATAGGTGAAGACGAGAAGGAAAAGGACCTGGAATTGGGTATCAACAATTAATGTAAATAAATGTCCCAATGGCCTTAGGAGTGTGTGTGATGGGGTACACTCTGGCAGCCACCAGGCTATGTGGGTTCTGAAACTTGTCTCTTGAGGGTTCTAGACCTGGCAGATAGTAATCTGAAGATGACCACAACATTCTTTTTTCAACTTTATTCACAAGTCCAGAGGATAAGTGTCAGCAAGCTGGGGGTGGCTCTCCTGACCTTCCTGGCCCCATCCCCTCAGGGAGGGAGCGGCAAATCACTGAGATGCGCCGGCCCCGGGGGACCCGGTGCTCCCCAAAAAATGATTCTTCATCTCGAAGGATCTCATGGGAGAAGTCATATCGGGCTGAACCCCTGCAAAAAGAGACAGGATAAGTGGGGTAAGTGGAAGGAAATCCTGTCCTTTCAGCATCTCTGTACTTTTTCTGAGTGGTGGTGGCAGCTGCCCCTGCTGTGAGAGCACAAACAAGAGGTGTTTGAAGCACTTGGCCTCATCTGGGAGCTTCTCGGCAAGGCATTACCTTAAAATATAGAGGGAGCCTGGCTCCAGCAACAGTTCCAGCCACTGCTCAGGTTCCTGGGTGTGCACCAGCTTCATAACACTTGGGGACAACAAGGAAAGGCCAGCGATGGTGGATCCACAGAACTGGAAGAGGGGTACAGTGTCTGTGTGTGTGGGGGGGGTTGGGGTCACGCTCAGATCTGCCCTCCTGCCCATCCTGGCTTTGAGTTATGAGGGACTTCCTTCTGCCCACCTTGACACTGTCAACATGGGGCTTGATGTAGCCCCGAGGTTCCAGGTCTAACACGTGAACCAAGGGTAGCAGGGTTTGGTCAGGGCCAAAGGCAGCAGCCTGGACCCGCTGCAGGATAGCCTGGCTTGCATCAGACCAGCGGGATTTCTCCGTCTCCCTGAAGCCGTGGATAGCCTTTGACAAAGAGAGCTCAGGTCATGACTGGGAACAGAGGGCAGTTCAGGGGCAGGCAGTTTTTCCAGCTTTAAATCACAATCCCGCCTTTAAGCTGGCTCAGTGAGGTCTTAAGCCCCCGCATGTGGTCTCTATACTTTAATTTCCAGTCCCTGGTGCTAGTCACCACAGTATTCAGTGTCTCTGTCTTTGGGCTCAACTCAATACCACTCAATACCATCCTAGTGGGACCTCCAACTGCTGGCACTCCCTCATCCGAGTCTTCTTTCTATCTTGTCAACACTCCTCAGCTGCAGAACCTCATGTCTTAAGTGATCCTGACCTTGCAGCCATTCCTTGGTGCCCACCAAGGCCCTCCCTTCTGATTCCAAGTGAATACTACCTTGAGCTCAACCCTCCCGGTTCACCTTCCCCTGCACTCAGCTCTG